CTGAGCATGGCCAAAAGGCACCTTGCCAGCTCCAAGGTCCAGTTTTAATCACTTAAACAAATTTTTTACCAAAAAAAAAAAAAAAAAAAAAAGTAGTAAAAAGTCATTCCCTTTCTCGGGGTGCCTGACTCAATCATTGAGTTTTATTGGGCTAATTAGTTTTCCTGTTATTTCGTGCAGCTGAGCCAAAGGTTCCCAAGTGCTTAGGAAGTTAATAGGGGGTAGTAGACCAGAACAGCAGACGCGTTTCAGTATATTCACTCCCTTCACTGATAACAAATAAATGGAAAAATGTTTTGTTCAGGTGAAGAAAAAAATAGAAAGGGGCGAGAGAAAATAATGGTTTAATTATATGTTTCGATAGCTGTTAGGTTGCTTGCTGGGATGTTTAATGCATGCAGTATTCCTGCCTCCTTCCCCAAGGTCCCTACCTGCACGCTGTGGGAGAACTGAAAACAGTGCCCTGCTGGCGAGCAGGGGCTGGGGAGGGGAGGGCAGCTGGGGCCAGCTTGGGCACGGTTTAACCCTCACAAGTGGCAACAGGCTGCCTATTCCTGCCCCATAGCCTAGTCTTCATGAGGCCATGCTGCGAGCTGGAACAGGGAACAGATTTGGCCTTATGGGGAGGAGGTGAATAAAAATAATATCCCCAGCACAGATCCCTACCTGACCGCTAGGTGCCATGAAGCAGCCTGGAAGCTGTCAAATGGGCCAAGAGCCGTAGGAGATGGAGCCTTTCTTTCCATCAGTTTTGCTGACATGGACTTCACAGAGCAACCACCCTTGTTATCGGTACCCAGGTGAAAATGCCCTCCTCACATCCGAGGCTGCATTCAGACAGATGGAGCTAATTACTTGAAGTAATGAGTAAATTAGCTTTGAGTGTGAATTTATTTTAAGACACTAATTGGTGTTAAACTGCCAAGAGATCCTGCCAATAGTTCTTCATTCTCTGTGTTACTGGCCCATACAGCCAAATACCGATGGGCCATGGTTCCTCTACCCTACTTCATGGCTGTCTTGGATTAGGCGGGCACACAACCTATGAGATGTTTACAGCTCACATAGTCCCACTCGCTACTTTTTAGTGAGCCTATCCCAAGCATCTGATGTTAAGCAATCAAATATTTTTATGGTCGGTGCCTACATACCATGAGTATGATGGAGTTGCCTCTGCAGGCCAGGCAGGATGCTCGTTAATTTTGTTAATGGGAGGTGCAATGGTCATCCATGGTTCCCAATTCACTCTGTTGAACTTCTGGCCTCTCTGGATGGTTCCTGCTGCCCTTATGAACAGAGACAGCGGAAAGCAAGAGAATTGGTCTGTGCAAAACAGTCCCACCAAGTGTGCACTGCACAGAAAGAGGTGTCAGGCACTGAAGACAGAAGGAGAAACAGCAAGCCAGGTTTTGGCTCACTTGCTCTAGTAGACATGGCCAAAGCCCTTGTGCTACTGGCAGACTCCCACATCCTTCAGACATGTTTTGCCCAGGTTACTGGTTTGACAGCTTGATGCAAATGTAATTTTAAATTAAGCTCCATTTACATCATCCTGCTAAACTGACAGAGGCTCTGAGGAAGCTGTGCAGCATGCTTGCCTCCTTCCCCAACTGATTTATTTGCTCTTGGTGATGAGAAAGAGATACTGTACTGGTTTGAAATGCCCCATCCTCCTGCCTGGGTCTGGAAAGTCTGGTCTGTGGCACTGTGTGGACATCGTGAAGGCAAACATGCACAGCCAGGAGGTCTACCCACTTCTGTTTGGGGTGCCTAGTACAAAAGAGCTTCCTGCCACAATCTTTCACTTTGGAGAAATGACCACCACACCTGGGATTTTTCCAATCTTTTGTTGTGCAAAACAAAGCATTCATTTAACAACAGTGTGTGCTTTACCACGAAACTAAACTCCAGCTATTATCTGCCAGCTTGGAAGAGGCTGCTAGCCCTTGGGGTTTGATATGCAAGCACCTATGGGAAAAAGCGCCAAGCAGTGCGATTGCCCAGGCAGGCTGACAGCCACACAGCTAGTTTGCTACTTGAACACATCAAATGTCCCCTGCCTTGTTACTAGTACGTACAAATACAGTACGGCAACTTCTCAGACATCATTACTTGTATTTATATACATGCAGCTTTGATGTTCAGCCTTAAAAATTCATTACCTTTTAATAATTGCCTGCTAAAATATGTAAGGAAAATATTAACATTTGCATCTTAGAGGCTTCCTACTTTAAATAATATAGTGTTGGTGTCAGAGCAGCAACTTGACTTGGAGGACTTCTCCTTGCCAGCCCAGCAGACACTTTGCAGGTGCACACTCCCCTGATCTGCTTTTCCTTACGCTTTCCTGGCTGGTGGACGTTGCACTCTCAGTTCTGCTTTGGCATTGGGGTAGCTAGCCTTGGACCACTCTAACACATTTGAATGTACTCATTTGCATGATATAGTTCAGTAACATCAATTTGCTTTTCTTAGCAAACATAATTCACAAGGTGCTTGCTTTACACCCCTCCTACCCTCTCCCTATTCCTCTTGCCTGGTCACGGTGCAGAGAACCAAGCCCTGTCAGTGTGGCCCCGTGAGATGCTGCTCATGAGAAGGTTATGAGAAGTCACTGTAACCTCCATCCACTCGCTTGGGCTTTCTAGCTGCTCTGGGCAGAGTGCAAACTCCGTGGCCATCCCTGTAAATGTCTACACAACATAATTACCAGGGTACGCAAGGTTGGAGTCTGAGCAGCAACGGGCCAAGATCCACCCTGAGCTCTGCTTAGAGGGAAAAGGGTTTAGGCAGGAAATGATCCCAGCTAACATTAACTTGGGAAGCTGCACGCCAGTCCCCAGCCTGCGCTGGGTACCCAGGGAAGCAATTCACTGCCTGATCTTTCTGCACTTGCACCACGCTAAAAGCATTCCAGAGTAACTCAGTTTGCTCAGCTCGTCACCTGCTCGCAGGCTTTCACTTACAGGTTTATGCTGAAGGTGACTGTCCCCTCTCTGTGTCCTCAGCACGACTGATGGCATCTGCAGCTCCGGGAAGCTCTGAGTGGAGCCCATGAATCCCAGACAGAGGCACCAGCACAGAGGTGATGCCAGCCAGCTTTAAGCTGTCCCTCCTCACCCCGGTCTGTGCTGGGCCCATCTTTCAGCAGATATTAAAGCAATAGCAAAACCGTTGTTACCTGTTCTGGGAGCTGGGTAGCCCCAGGCCCTGTGACTTCGGTGTGCTCCCTCTGCAAGGGCAGCCTGCAGAAACTAGCCCAACTGCTGCTCCCCTGCAAGGTTACACCTCAGTGCAAGGAGGCTCTGGGCATCGTGGACACACTGCTTGATTGCAGAGAGACTACAAAATCATTTAGGAGGTGAGCACAGTGGCTCTGGGGGTGGGAGATATTTTTTTTGTCCCTTTACGAGATCAATCATTTCAATAAAAGGATGTTCCTGGATACCTGGTACTCACCCTGCGATGTGAGTCCCTTGCAAGCACTCCAAGTGCTTTTGCACCCAGAATTGAAGCTGAATCTCTCCCTTTATTGACTGTCCAGGGGAGGCTTAAGTTCTCCCTTGAGATTTTCACTGATAGTCCTGACTTGTTGGGCACAAGTGCTGGAAATCCCTAGCAGGCAAAAGGGAAACATTTCCCAGCCTTTCTTCACCTGCTCTGTGCAAATCTTGTCCCTGGCCTCAAATCTCGCCATACTACGCAGTGACTCATAAAGAACAGGAAAACAAATGGGGCTTGTGTTCAGGTTTTGTTTAAAACCTTGTAAGTCACTTTATCTTAAGAAAAAGCAGCAATGGCAAGTTTGGGCTTTAGTGGAAGACTAAAGTTTGCTGGCTGCAAGACAGACAACGAGGGGATCTCAGGCTTTAGCTGAAGGGAGCAGGCGATACTGGCAGGATGCTGCAGAGAAGTTATCAGATTAGGTCTCTCCATCACAAAGAAGCAGAAAAGGTTGGAGCCCAACTTCTCCCTTTTTCGGGCC